AGAATTCAAAAATCTACAAAGAAAAGACCAAATTGTTCCATGACAATGCACTCTTAAGAAAACAATTTAAAATTGGACAAAAGGTCTTATTGTATAATTCTCGACTTCAACTCCTGCCAGGTAAGCTGCGTTCCAGGTTGATGGGTCCGTTTACTGTGACTAATGTTTTTCCCTATGGTGCAGTAGAGATCAAAAGTCTCGACATAGGTAAGATCTTCAAGGTGAATGGACATCGATTGAAGTTGTTCCACAAGGATGCAAACGTCCTCTCTACGGTAGACATCTCGTTGGACATTCCTCGGTATTCATTGGATTGAAGGAGCAAAAAGAGGACGTCGAGCATAACGACGTTAAACAATTGCGCTTCTGAGAGGCAACCCATTATGTTTAGTTAAATCCAACACCTAGTGCAGTATCATAATTGAGTCTAGGGGTCAGTTGTAACATTCCAATTTTGCCCATCTATCAAGGTCCAGGGCAATACTGGATTTTTGGTCCAGTTCAGGGTTTCAAGAAAACCCACACTGCATGTACCTCAAGTCTCACCCTGGCAGTTGAGACAAGCCACCCCAACCAACTTGGCAGCACATCAGTGTCAGCCTTGGCAAGATAAATCTGCCCAGATCTATCCAACGGCTGTGAAGATTCTAAACTAACACAAGCCTCATATGTGTCTAGTTTAAGGGTATTACACAGAAACACATCATAATAACATGAATCAAATATGTACTTTATTCATTTACATTAAATGTCAGAATGTACATCATTCTTATTGGAGCTAAGGGCATACACTGTCTAACACAAATCCCCGATTGACCATCCACCAAATTTCATACTGTAAAATGACTGTTTTGCCCTTTATTTAAAAGATTCCAAATCGACAATCCTCATTAGCCACCACTCTCTTAATCCGAGATCTTCATTGAGATACTCCATCCAAGACCTTGAGACCTCCACCAACTTCCCAATCAACCATCCACCCAACATCATACATCAAAATACTCATTTTGTCCTTCATCCAAAAAGGTTCCAACTGAACTATCTTCATTGCACTCCCCAAATTCAAGATCCATTATCACACATCATCTGGCACCTCCTTACCCCATCACCACTTCCCGATCAACCATCCACCCAACATCAGACCTCAAAATACCCATTTTGCTCTTCATCCAAAAAGATTCCAAATGAACCCATCCTCATCGCCCAATATGCCCCAAATTTAAGATCCATCATCACACATCTTCTGACACCTCCAAATCCCATCAAAACCTCCCAATCAATGATCTATCACAGTTCAGACCCCAAAATGACCATTTTACCCTTGGCTTAGAAAATGAACCATCATCTTCGCCCGATATGCCCTAAATTCAAGATCCATCATCACACATCATCTGTCACCTCCAAGCCCCATCAAAGCCTCCCGATCGATGATCCATCACATTTTAGACCCCAAAATGACCATTTTACCATTTCCTTAAAAAGATTCTAAATAGACCATCATCATCACCCGATACGCCCCAAATTTAAGATCCATCGTAAAACATCACCTGACACCTCCAAACCCCATCAGAACCTCTCGATCGTCGACCCGTTGAACCTCAAGCCTTGAAATTTCCATTTTTACCCCTCATCTATAATGGTTTCGAATCGAGGGCTCTCATTGGCCGCTACTCTCCCATTTCAAGATCTGCATTGCGATACACCCTCTGATACACCTAAACCACGTCATCACCTTCTTAGACACCCGAATAAACCCTCCTCCATTTTTAGACCCAAAATTACCATTTTACCCTTCTATCAAGAAAAATCCTGATTCAATGGCCTACATTACTCGACACACTCCAAATCATGATTTCTTACTCTTACACACTCCTCGAGGTCATCAAACCCCATCATTGCGCTTTTCCGACACCTTATAAAACCTTTGGAAATTTTCATTACAAAATTCCCCATTTTACCCCTTCATCTACGAAGATTCCAAGTCGTGTGATCTCGTTGGTTGAGAAAAACCCTAATATCTTGAATTTTAATCTCAGTCCTTGAATCCTGCACATTACACCCCTTGGACTTCCCTCTCATTTCAAAAAAAACCCTTCTGCTTTTTCTTTTTTTTTTTCTTTTCATTCAATCCCCTACACATTTCTGAAAATCACTTAGAACCCCTTATCTACCCTGGATGCAATCCTAGCCTTATATTTGAGCCTCCTTGCTTCACTACCATAGGATCGGCCTAACTTTAACCTCCACACCCCAAAAAACCCTAAATCTCAAAACCCTAATCGCCCCCTTCATACTTACCTCTCAAATTCGATTCTCAAATTTCAAAATTTAAGTTTAAAATTTAAATTTACATCTCCTACATTTTAGCCATAAATAAGGGAGCCAATGGGGGAGCCTTTCAAGGCATGCTGTCCCCTATTATTAAATTCGGTCAAAAGGGAAAAGACCAATGTGGCAGCCCTCCCATCCCTTAGAGTAGGATCAAAACATCTAAACCCTCCATCCTTTCCAAACCTTAAGGATATCCTAAGAGAAACCCTAACTAAACCTCCCCTTTTCAGTCCAAGCCTAATTAAACTAACCCTAATTCAGTTCTAATGGAACTAAACCGCCCCTAACTGCACCGAACCAAACCATCTTTATTCGGTTTTACAAGAAAACAAATAAAAATAAAAACATAAACAAAAGGAAAAGGAAAAGAAACCTAAATAAAATCAAACTCTCTTCTCCCTCACTGATCTCTTCTTCCTCCGACCGAACTCTCCCTCTCTCTCCATTCCCTTCTAACCACTGAACCCTCCCTCTCATGGATCTCTTCTCCTTCTTCCTCCTCTCTTCCACTGAACCCTAGACCACCGAACCCTCTTCTCCTCTCTCTCTAAGATGCTATCATTCTCTCCTTTCTCCCTCACTCCCTCAATCTCTCACCACCAAACCTCCATGAAACAAAAAGAAACATCTCTCCTATCCCTCATGGCCCCTTTCCCCTAACCACCAAACTGTCACTCTATTCTCTCCACTCTTCCCACTGAATCCTAGTTTCCCAACCTCCATCTTCTTCCTCCTCCCATCAACAACCAACCTCCATGAACCCTAGCCGTTGAATCTACCTCCATCTTCCTCCCAATCTTTCTTTTCTCAAAAAAAAAAAGAAAGAAAATGTGCGCTGCTATCATTTCGGCTAGAAGAGAAGGAGAAGGAAGAAAAAGAGAGAAGATGCAAGGAAGAAGGCCGCGGGTCAGCCCTCCACCATTCTCATCCAAGTAAGGTAAAAACCCTTCCCACTCTCTCAATCTCTCACCGAATCTCTCCCTCCTCCAGGAAACCCTTACCACCAAGTCTCACCTTCATCATCTTCTTCCTCTTCCTTGTACAATAAACCCCAAAAATTGCATCTCTCTTCCCCTCACCTAAACCAAGATCCCCAAGCTCTCATCTCCTTCTTCACAAACCAAAACCCTCACCGAAAGCATCCTCCAAGAATAACCCGAGCCTCCATCTCTCAAACTCTCATCTTCCTTCCAATAGTCTAGCTGAAACTATCCTCCATCATCATTCAATCCAAAAAAAAGAAAAGCCTCAAAGCAGCCTTGGAGAAGTAGCCCTCTACCCATTCGATTCAAGCAAGGATCAACCTCAAAAAGAGGTATCAACAATTTCAATCACTTATCTTGTAGCATTTGTCAAAGGGTCACAAAGAGGTGAGTTGTTCACCTCATCATTTTTTATTTATTTTTATTTTTATTTTTCTTTTTCTTTTTCTTTTTTATTCTTTTTTGTTTTGTATCTTCTTTTGGTTTTTACTCATTTCTAGGTAACCTTTTGTTTCAGCATTGCGTATGCCTTCTTTGAGTTAGTTTCATATTGGTTATAAGAAGTATTAGCATGGTTTGTTAATCAATTCTCTTGAATACTTTATGTCTTTTAGTGTTTATGTAGTTTGATTCGAATCAATTTCAGCATTTTAATTTATTCATTTTAATAGCTTTTCAATTCATTCTAGTCTAGGATAAACGGTTATGCTTATTGGAATTATTTGCTTGTTTGTTTGTTTATTCTCCAAAATTCTATTAATGTTCTAAGTAGTTTCATATTTTGACTTGGTTTATTTTGTAGATTGGGTGATGTTTGGCATTTTCTTTTGTTAATCTCTTAGTACTTAGGTGTATAAATCATCATAGATATTTGTTAATTGTTTTGGATAATAATCCAATGTTCTTTTAGTATTTCTTCAAGCAGAATTGGTATCATTGCTGAAATCTTTCAATTTCATAATGTTCCAATTCAATTTTGTATAGTTCGGTGGATTGTGCACATTGGAATTAAGTGTGGAATGTTAGAACATAGTGTTTTTTTAGCTTCCTAATTTATGTTAAATTTGAACTATTATTATTTGTGTTTTTGCTTCTTTATTCACTTTTAATCTTAGGTTGGGAGTTGCCTTATATGAGGTTGTTTGTAGGGGATTACCTCTCTTATGGTTTGGCCCATTCCATTTTCTTAGTCAGAGTGAGAGGAACCTTGGGTAAAGAGGGAGCATGACATGTAGTTGTCAACTCCTTTGCTCCTCTAAGGGTTTCTCTCACCCAAACGGGGAATGAGAAGGTTAAATCATTTGGGAAGCAACACCACAATGACCATTGTCTTTAGTATGTAAACTCACTAACATTCTTGTTGGCTTAAACCTTATTTTCATTTGATTAGGGGAGTGGTACTACATGTTGAATATGGGAGAGGGGTGCTTAACACCTTCCCTCTCTCCCCTAAAAGGTACTTAGAATAACTTTAATTTGGTACATTAGAGTCTTGTTTTGTTTCTTGAACTTGGGAGGCCCATCACTCCCATATTCTTTTCTTTGATGGGTGGCGACTCTATATTTCAGCCATGAAGTGGACCCCAATTTCAATTTGGATGTTCACAGGGACCAAAGTGACACTAGGCCCAAAGTGACACTAATCGAGAATTTCCCTTTGTTATATTTTAACTTTTGTCTTTTTAAAATCGAGATATACCTCTCAACTCTCCTTTTTCCCTTTTGATTTTTAGTATTCCTAAAATAATGAAATCCTAACTCCCTAAGCTCTTGCTTTCCTCCCTCTCATCTCTTGCTCTCCTCCAATCCTCCCTGTCAGCCCTAGTTTGTCGGCGGGCATCGATAATGGCAAGTCGGCAACCTCCCCACTCTAGTTATCCCATCTCTCTCTAATCACTAAGGCCACCAGTTCTCCCAACCTCTATATTTGTTCAGGGCTTCAAAGTTCATGCAATTTATGATGAACATGAAGGTATTCATGCAAGCTCTTACAATCTATCGTCCCATCTCGTTTCGCCCTCCAACGAGCAGCGACCCATGCTCCCGCCGCTTTGTCATTTGCTGTTCAAGTTCAGGTAGGCTTAACTATTTTCTTTGTTTTTTTTGGCATAAGTAATAGTCTATTCGAACTGTTGAACTCTTGAAATTGTTTTAGATTTTTATATTCAACTACCTCTACCTGAACTTGGACAACGGACGAGAGAGCTGCAGGAGCACTAGTTGCTACTCATTGGAGGGTGAAACAGGATGAGATGACATACTTGAGGAGATTGCCTAAATGCTTACGCTATATTGTTGTTTATATTTGTCATCGATTACTTGAGGTCTTGAAACTATTTTAGATTTTTAGGTTTGAGATTTTTTTTGGCATAAATAACACCATAACAGAATATTTGGACCATCGAGATTCTTTATGTTAGAGAATATCAATCTATTCAAGGAATTGCCTAAATGCTTACGCTAATTGAGCATGCACTCATCTTAGGCTAAGTATTTGTCTATTTGATGTACATCTTTAATAGATTCTTTAGTATTTAATTTTGATTAGAATTGTGCTAATTACATGTTTGAGGACAAGATATATGGTTAGAAATACTCAAGCTAGAGTTTTGGTTAGATCATATATTTTTTCTTTTACCATAATGCAGTTAACCAATTAATCAGCTGCATTAGTTCAGTTTCAGTTTGATTTTTGAAGAAATTGAACTAATCGATTTGGTTCAAGAAAAAGGCCCATGGTTTGGTTAGTTGAACCATGAGTACCATAGTAATTTATAATTTAGCCAAAAAATGACAAGGTATAGAGTATGTTTAAGTATTTGTCATAAAACAGAGGGTCTTTATGCTTAAGTAAAAGGGGAAATTTGTTAAAGTATCCTTATGGTTTAGGAAATTAATTAACTCTATCCTTACTGTTTAGATATTGTCATGAAGTATCCTTAAATTTTTTGACAATTGTATAAAACCTCCCTTAACGTTAATTTTCCATCACACTCCATTGTGACATCATATGATTAATATATTTTTTAAAATTCCTAAAATCCTCTTTTAAAATTTTTTAAATTCCTAAACCTTTGAATTCCTAAATTGTTTGTAGAGCTTCACCAGATGAATACCCACCCATTAATTGCAGCCCCACAACTACCGCCTCTACCTTATTCTCTTCCTACACCACCACCACCACCAACTAAACCCGATTCTAATCAAACCCGGATCAAGCAAGACTCCATCTCCTTGCGTCCTTTGGTTTGGATGGGTTTCTCCCTCACCTCTTTCCCCATCCCTATCTTCGTTGCCATCCCTGTCCTAACAACATTAACCAAAGAAAGATCATATCCACTCGAACAACATTAATCAAACCCGATTCCAATATGTCCTTGGCCAGTTTGATCTGATCGAACTGCCTTTGTATTGGATTGTCCAGAGAAGCTATGATAGCAGCGGGCCAGGGTGTTTTTTTCCTCCCACTCCAGGTAGTCCCTTCTGCGGGCATCAAAAGCCCAATCAACTGGACGCTCCAGGGTGGGGTTTTTGGCAACTTCATCCAATTTTTCAAAAGTCACTACCAGCATGAGGTTACAGTACCAGTCAACGTAATTAGGGCCCTTAAGTTTGTTGTCATCAAGAAGCTTGGCGAATTGTCCGTTAGCCATTTTCTGGTAAAACAACAAACATTAGTTCACAACTTAATTTGATTCATGTTCATTACATAAATATGACTTATAATCTATGTTCCATTCTCATTTGTTCATCTTTGAGATTTTCCTCCCATCTCAGTGACGCAGATAGCGACTTTTCTCTGGAAATGTGGGAAACCACATAGGGTGCATCGAGCCAACTATTTCAGCTGCAAAACCCCACCACCTTTTTGTGAAGGATCATATGCACTCATCATATGAGTTTTCCCTTTGGCCTCTATCAGACAAGGTTCAGAGTTGTTTTTATGTAAACCTTTCTGTCTAATGAGTGCTCACCCATCATATTCGTGAATGTCAAGGTATCGTGAGAGAGTTCCCATTTTCTGGTGAAGCCCCTCCCACATCGGTCTATGACGCCTCTATCATCTTATGAAACACTCGGACAAGTCCAACAAGAAATGAATAGCCCATTTTCTGGTGTGTTTTCTCATTACTGAAGGACCCATCCTTATGCTAATGATGGAAGGCCTTTAGAGAGTTCATCATATGAATCTTCCTATCACATGCACTCATATTTGCTGGAGGAAACAAAAAATTACTTCCAAGTTTAATTTAGGTCAAACCAAAGTGGCTCCCATTGACTTTCATAAAACTAGATTTTCGGTGGGCCCAAATCGGTTAGGGTTTCGCACGTTTCCTCTTCAAGATGTGTGGGGCCCACCACTGACGGAGGTCATCCGATGACCAGCAGGGACACCATGGCAATGATGTGCATTTAGCCATGGTGTGCGCAAGAGCCACTATCGAATCAGCATGCGCCAAACACTTATGACCCATGAATGTAGCACATCACACATCCATACATCACATGAAGGGAATAATTGATCCAATCAATTAATATCTGTAAAGCCCATTTTAAAGCCCATAATATTAACCATTAATATTATCTAGGTATATGGGCCGAAATTAGGGTTGATCAATTTGGTCCATATAGCTTTATCTGCGAAGTGGGCTTTTAGCAGTTTTAACAATTCAAACTGGGCCTTTACAAGTTGGGCCGAACTAAAAAATTCAATTAATTATCAATCATTAGGCCCATTAGTGGGAGAATTAGGGCTAACATTCAACCTTGATCGAACCCAAGATTCGGTCCAACCAGTTTGGACCAATCTGGTTCGAATGGGTCTAGGGTTTGATATTTAATTAAAGATTTAATTCAACAAATTAATCTGAAATTAAATACTGATAAAAGAAAATCAAGAATCAATCAGATAGGGCTGTTCGCACAATCCATCATGCAAAACAAAGGTTAGATCACAGTTTGCAGTTTCATAAACTGCAAATCGCAGATAGCGATTTTCCCATCTACGAAATCTCCTTCCTTGCGCCATCTTTGATCCCAAATAAAATAAATAGAAAACCTAATTTCTATTTGATGGAGGATGATTTGACCCGACCTACGGAACGGTGACACGTGGACACTGACTCAGCACGAACAACAGCCCAGCATTGTAGCCTAGTGCGACCAAGTGGCGGGCCCATAAAGCAGCTCGCTACATCATAGCTCACAAGAGAAGCTCGCCACAACGCGAGCTCCGGCTTCCCCGAGCTACCTTTGAAGGGATACTCCGAGGCAACTTTTGCTCACGAGCTAGGGGAACTAGCTCACCCAAGCTCCTAAGCAGACAAGTCATCCCAAGGACCAATTCTGTTAAAGGTAATCCTGAAGTATTCCGAGCTCGCTACAAAATAGCTCGGGAATGGGACACGTAGGCGCTCCTCAAGAAGCTTCTCCCAGATAGGAACACACCGATCCGCCTATAGATACCCCAAGGTAAAGACACCTCGGGCCAGACAGCTTGGCTTAGCTTGCCACAGGCAGCTTGCCGCTTATGAGATAGCCCGGCACAGGGTAGCTCGCGGAAGGGTAGTCCGGCACATCGCAGGAAGACCTCCTGCCGACCACCATACCTGACAAATCTGGGAACAACAGCCATATCCCTCGTTAGACAGCGTTGTGTCTGCCACCTTTAGAAGGTGCCTTACACCTGACAGGCACGTTCACTGCGGTGACGGCCCCGTGTGTGCCACCTCAGCCCCGCCAGTAATGGCTGCGGTAGGCTGACAGTGGCGGTTATACCCGCCCTATCAGAGGCTAGTGGGCCTGATACAACGGATTTCTGTTATAAGGAGATAGTATCAAGGAACGGAGGTATCATCTTCTACTCTTGTGCTATCTGCACTCTTAACTCTCATCTTCTCCTTGCTTCTCCTACAGAATACTAACTTAAGCATCGGAGTGTTCCCGCCGGGCAAGCCCCCGGGGATTCTTCTTCTTCTCCATCCCAGTTACCTTCCAGGAGCCACGTAAGTGCCAGTTAGGAGTGACCGGATCGCGCACCATCATTTGGCATCATGTATGGGAAACGCTTCTAAAAGCCTTCCTCTAAACCTTCACAGTTCTTTCTTCTCTGAAAACTCGGCACTCATGGCTTCTTCTAGCAATGTTGGATGAAGCATGGAGATGGATAACTCCAGGGAGCAGCCCCAGGTCCCCACGGTCTGGATTGGGTAGTTCACCATTCCTCTCTCGGTGGACGAAGTTCCCAGCCTAAACATGCCGCGAGCAATGGCGCCTGTGGGTGTTACCTTGCCTTCCTCAGTCGAAACGACCTTTGCTGAACCAACTGTTGTTCCTTTGGCGACCAGCCAGAGCCAGCTCGACGATCTGATGTAGTGCATGCGGGCTATGCAAGCCCAAGTGCAGCAGCTCCAGCAACACTAGATTTACCAGTAGCAAGTGCTGCACCACGTCTCCCAGTATCACTACCAGCAGCAATTCCCCCAGCTGTCTCAACCCCAGCTTCAGCAGCCACAGCTCCCTCCTCGGTACCCAGCCTCACAGCGAGCTAAGTCTCGCCGCCAGGACGAACGCCCCTCTCGCCAAGGAGAAGCCTCCAAAACCCTCCTAAGAGCCAGGTCTCCTCTCGCGACAGACAAGAAAGACCGGCCACCCCGGTCTCGCCACGGGCGGTCAGGTCGGAAGGACCCCAGCTCGCCAGGTCTACATCACCTCGGTAGTCGAAGTTTGTAGCCCCGATCCTTGAGAACCAGTTTAAGATCCTGGCTACAGACTCCAAGCGGGATCCTTCTGTCCGCAGCCATCACCAGCAGCCCGAGCTACTTGCTGCACAAACCATTCCTGATAGCACGGAGGTGAGCAGCACAAACGCCGAGCTCGCCGATCTGCCACCCACAACTTGCCCGAGCTCGAAGGCAAAGAAGAGGTAAGCTCGGGCGAAGTCAAGGCTCCCCTCCTTTCAGTTCCGTCCCCCTGTCTTCCGAACTCCTGGCAGTCCCAATGCCTAAAGACTTCAAGCTCCCCCCTCTTGACAAGTATGACAAGTCGTTTGACCCAAATGACCACGTAGATGCCTTCCAGTCGCAGATGCACCTGGCAAGAGCCAGTGAGTCGTGCATGTGCGTGGCCTTCTCCACCACTTTTAGAGGAGTAGCCCGTACATGGTACCGGAACCTGGCACTTGGATCGATAAGAAGTTGGGCGCAGTTCACGCAAGCCTTCACGTCCCACTTCGTCACCAGCAAGCGGTGCCCGCGAACTGAAGAAAATCTCCTCAACGTAGTGCAGAGAGAGGGAGAGTCCATCTGGGGCTATATTAAGTGGTTCAACGTTGTGTGAATGCAGATACCGCACCTGGACCCCGTCATGCACCTTGGAGCAGCCAAGAAAGGCATGACGCAT